TTCGAACGAACCCGAGCAGTTCATGGAATCCTTCTACCCGATCGTCAGTGCCTGGCAGCGTGAACTCGGACAGGTTGTGGGAGATAGCCTGGCATGCAGGAGTCCTCTGTTCGACCGCTGGGATGACCTGGCGTTCGGAGGTTTCATAGACGACCTGATCAGAATTGTCATTGTGCCGAGTGGGGCTGCACGCGAGGCCCTGAGCCTCGATTATCTGGACAATAAGATACTAGACACGTACTTGACTGAGGGCGGGTACGCACAGCACGTGGACAAGCAAGATACACTAGTGCACCTAGCCACTAACAGGGACACCAAGGAGGCGGAGGAGAGAGCTTCGGGGAGGACGATGATGAACATGATACACTTGGGCGGGTACCTTAATAGCAACGGTAGCAACAAGCACGAGGTCAAGGCACGGATAAGAGCTGGCTCCATAGGGTGGAGTAACCTTCGGAACTACTGGACTGCGCCTGGCCCCTGGAGGAGCAAGCGCAGCATGTTCTTGGCTAACGTTGCAGGCCGTGTCTGGTCAGGTATGGAGGCGCATGCGCTCACCCCCCTGGAGGCGCGGGCCCTCGACGCCTCTCAGGCAGGCGCGGCGCGCGCGGAACGCGAGGATGGCAGACACACGTCGTTGACCACCAGGGCCGTGTTCGAAGAGCGGGAGATCCCACCCACAGGGGTTGAATTTATGATAAGGAGGTTGGGATGGTGGCAGTCTATCATGGCAAACCCCGAACATCACCGCCACTTCCTCAGCGCCTTCTCCGTGGAATGCAAGTTCGAGTCAAGAGCTCGCTTGGTGGGTGCAGCTGTAGCCGATATAACTATACTTGGAAACGGCGAGCTGAACCCCTCCCCGCACGTTCACCCCTGGGCCCGCCAGCTTCATGAGGACCTCCAAACGATTCTTGGGCATCCGCATTTCAGGGAGCTCAGGGACGTCTGGGAGCCCAGTACGTTAGGTACCCTGTTCAGCATCAACTCTGAGGCCTCCGAGGTTTTCCGCAAGTGCGACTTCAGAGCCCTGCGCACGACACTCAAGGGATGCGAGTGGGCCCCCCCGGAGCATTTCGAGAACCAGCTCCCCACTGACGAGGTGCTGGGGGAGACCGATAGTGAAGATGAGGAGCTCGCCCCCCTGTTGTGCGGGACCAAGGGGTGCCGTGCCAGATTTTCGACGCGCCGCGAGCTGGCCAAGCGCCAGATCAACGCGACAACGCTCGAGGGCCACGGCACTCCTCCCGTCCTCTCGCAGGTATGTATAGACAATAAGTGCATCAACTGCGACACTGTCTTTGCTAGTCTTGATCATACACGACGGCACTTGTTTCGAGCATGGATGTCGGGCAGATGCATCGCGGAGCTGACGAGACACACACATACCTGGACCCCCTCCGAGGTAACCGAGTGCCCATTGGGAGAATACAGCGACCAGCCTGAATGCCACACTCATTACTCTGAGGCGTTGGAGCTGCGAAGACACATTCGCGCGCACATTCCCCCATGTCCGTTTGGATCTTGGCTCAAAACATCTCAGCCACGACCCGCCCACCGCGCTCGAGGCCCACTCGGGCGCGAGCTGCTGCCGCCACCGGCTTGGCGACCAGAGGTCACCCCCGAGGAACGAGAAAGGCTCCGAGCGGGCTATCAACGGCTGGCAGAGCTTCGAGAACAACGTGCTGAACGATTACGACGGCAGCCACAGGGACATCGGCTACCACGAGTGGATCCAGCCCCAGCCCCCTCGAGGGCAGAACGCGTGCTTGAGGGCACCACATCGCGGGTGACAGCCGCGAGCGCGCCCCTTCTCCTTCGACGGCCCCCAGTTGCGGCAGCTGCTGAAGATGGCGAGCTCGGCGGCGGCGGCGTCGGCGGCGGCTCGGCCGCCCGCGTGGCTCCTGAAGGGCTCCTGCCCTGCCTCCAGCACTTCTGGGAGCGACGGTTTGGCTCCGCCGCCCGCCAAGAACCCGCGCAAGGGCGACAAGGACGGCGACCACGTCATGGTGGGGGGTGGACCCGCTGAAGGAGAAGGGCGGCAAGAGCGGCGGCAAGGGCGGCAAGAGCGGTCAAGGACACCGAGGCGGCAGGAGGCGCAGACGCGGCAACCACAGCGAGAAGAAATGGACATCGAAAGACCAGAACTTGATGCAGTGCCTGGCGACGCTGACGAAGCTCACGCTTCAAACGGCGTTCAAGCAACGACTGACATCGGCCACGACGATCGACACGTTCACGATCCCCACGACGCACCGCGTGGTCCAGAGGCTCGAGGCGGCGATGATCGAGCACCGCAAGAAGGCGGAGGCAGCCCGCCCGAGCGGCGCCGAGGCGCTGCGAGAGGTGGGCTCGCCAGTGGCGAGCCTCGTGGTCGGCCTTCTAGAGAGTCTGATGGAGTGCGACATAGGTCGAAAAACGAAGGCCGACCTCGGCAAGCACGTGGAACAAATCATACCAGTCAGTGGAGAGGAGCCGCCGATCACGAGAACCCACCTGGAGCTGGACGCGGCGGCCATCCGCATCGAGAGATGCTTCGACGAGGAGAAAGTGAAGCTCCAGGTGGCAGCGCCAGTGTGGCCCATGCGGGGCACGGTCACGAACGCCTTCATCTCGGAGGGAGTGGCCCAGCGCCACACTGGTGTGGCCCCGCCTGGATGGCTGGAAGACGAGATGGCGTCGTGGCTGGAGGTGCTAACCCAGTAGTGTTTGTACAGGGATAGACTATCGGGGGCACGGCACCTACCCCTCCCACGCCCCTGCCTCCCCCCGCCATTGACCCGATCGGCTCCGAAAATGAGTATTGCCCATTCGAGTTCGATTGAGGCGTGGCTGACAGCATTGGCTGCCTGGCCAGCTGAATGCATTCCTTTCCCCTTTCCCAGCCTGTCTAGTGCCGTGATTATGTGCAAATAGCTCTGTCCCAGAGGCGGGGGCCCAGTTCCTATCGAGACGCGGTTTCCGCTGCCAGAGGCGTGCGTGCCTCTCCCCTCGTTTGCAGCCTGCCTCCGCCGCGCCCGAGTTGCAGCATCGATCGAGCGTGCGCACCAGCCTGCATAGCTGACCAGGACAGGATCCGCGAGAGTGCGGTCCAGCGACGGGCTCCACAAGCCTCACATGTACTCCCATCAGTCGGCACACAGCCCCACTCGTCGAGTGAAAAAAAGGGGCTCCTCCTCCTCCTCATCCTCCCCCTCCTCCTCCTCCTCCTCCTCCTCCTCCTCCTCCTCCTCCTCCTCCTCCCAGACATCCGATGCCTTGATTCTTTCCCCACCGTGTCTGGGGAAGTCCCGACCCTCTCCCCAGCGCTGGCTGCCCTTCAGTGGGCCCTTCAGGGGGGGGGGATACAGTCAAAACGTTGACACAAGGAGCAGTTTGAGTTCGGAAGGGGCTCGATGTTCCTGAGGCTCCTCCATCGCTGTTCCTCCTGGCCTCCTCGGGCACGGCGGCGCCTGTACGGCCAAAATGGGGATTCGTTCCTGATTTGGCGCTCCTTCTTTCAGCGGCCCGACTGCAGGTGAGCCGCCCTTCAGTGGGCAACGACAGTCGGGCCAGACGGAAGGGGGGGATTGGAAAGGGGGGGGCATGAAATCTGCTGCATGCAGCTGGTTTCGGCCCCACCGAGGGGCCCAGTCCTCGAGACATGGCCGCCTCTGGCGCCAGGAGGCGCCGGGAAAATCAGCTACGTGAGCTGATTATCAAACCCCCCCTTCGCTATCCCCCCTTTCGCCCGGCCCGAGACAGGGGGGAGGATAGGCTTAAGTCGGGCCTGTCCTTCTCCAGGAGGAAGATTCCAAAATAGTGGGGGACGACTTTTGGACCATGTTTGAATGTGTTTGGTCCAAAATCCGCCTGTAGGGGAACATGCCCGACCGAAAGATAGGCAAGAGGGGGGACGCATCGACTCCCTATCGCCCATGGATCGCCGCTAGGGGCCCGATAGCCCCAACCTGTCCAGGAAGGTGCGGGTTCACGATGGGAGGCCTATCGCCAGACCTCGACGTCGCGAAGAGGCTGCGAACTGCAAAGTTGTCGCCAATTCCGTGTGTTCCTGGGTGCGAACTGCGACCTGTCGCAGCTTTCGTGGGCTCCTGGGAGGCCCAGCGGAGTGACATCCTAGTCAGATCAGTGGGTGCGAGCTGCGACACTGTCGCCACTTGCCGTGCGCTCCTGGGAGGTCCAGCGGAGTGACGTCCTAGTCAGGTCCGACGAGACCCGGCCGTCGATGGGAGATGCGAGCTGGGAATATATTGCCACTTGTCGTGCTCTCCTGGGAGGTCCGGCGGAGCGACGTCCTATTCAGATCAGACGTGACATCGCCGTCGCTCTAGAGCGCCACAACGACGTGGCGCGGGCTGCGCTGCTTGTCCGGCGTGCAGAAGAATCGCCACCCTCCTCCTTCGTCTTGCCTCTTTCGTTGTCGCCCTCTTCCTTCCACCGTCTCCTCTTCCGTCTTTCTCCTGCTTCGCTCTCAACCCCCCATCTTCTCGTAGTGCCTGAGGCCCCCGTCCTCGTCCTTCGGTTGCTACCCTGCGAGCCGTGCAGCGCGCGCGCATCCCATGTAGCTCCCACAGCACATGGCAGTTCCTGTGTTGTCACCAGCCATAGTACAGTCAACCCGCGTAGTAAGGGTGGACAGCCTTCCCAAGGGTACCTTTGCATCCTTGCCTCCTCGGTCCATCCGTCGCCACTTTTGTCGGCCGCGCCCCGCTCGGAAAGCTTCGAAATGGGCCTCCAAGGCCCTTGCATCCTTATCGCGCCTTCTTGCTATACGGGTTGGCTGTAAGCTGGGCCATCTCCTCTTGTCGCTCAATGCACATGGGTTGGGTTCGTCACAGGGCATTCGTTCTGCGAGGGGCAGCAGCCCGTGTCGGAGCGGCCTTCTGTCAGAGGAGGGGCCCTCGAGACAGCACGTGCGCCACCCCCCGCCCCACCCCGGGTTGAGCAGGAGGGGGCCCGCCGCTGCCTCCATGTCTCGGTTGGGCCGCTCCCGGTCTCAGTTCCTCAACATGTTCACGGTGGGCAAGAAGCTCGGCGAGCTGCAGATCCAGACGGGGCTGGAGGAGTTCAACGTGGACGAAGATCGGCCCAACGATCCCGAACGTCGAGGATCCCGGGGGGACCCCCCTGAAAATTACCCTGGCGAAGGTCCCAAACACATGCAGCTGCGAGCGCCGCAGGGCTGGTCATCCGAAGGAGGGGGCGAGCCACCTGCGAGTAGCGTCGGTCGGATGCGGCCGTCTCCTCATAGGCAGCGTGCCACAGAAGTGACGGGACACAGGGCGTTGTGGACGGGGGACGGCGCCCCCCCCCCCCCAAACAAAAAACAAGAGAGGGGGGGGTCCCAACCCCCCCCCCGCCCCCCCGGAGCCAGCAACCGACGAGGAGGAGGAGGTCGTCGGCGTGCCCCGCCCGTCCGCCCGGCCGACCCGCCCACGACAGCGGCAGCGGCGTGCCCCGCCCGCCCAGTCGCCTGATCGGCCAGCCCGCCCGTCGACGACGACGCCCGACCTTGCCCTCGCTCCTCGTGGGTATGGGACCCCACATAGGGGAACAAAAAGTGACATAAACGTAACAGCTCGGAGGTCCGCGCGGATTTCTCGGATCGGCGCTGGACCCCCCTCCCTGGCGCGCGGAGCGCGCCAGGGGCGGCGCCGGAGGCGCCGCCGGGGGGCCCCAGCGCCGATCCGAGAAATCCGCGCGGACCTCCGAGTTTTCATGTTTATGCCACTTTTTGTTCCGCTACCGCACCTGGGCGTCCACCTGCCCGGCCGGCGCGCCCGAGACGACGACGACGCGGCCAGGCGGGACGCGCCGTCGTCGTGGCCGAGTCGGGCGGGCGGGTGGCTGGGCGGGACACGTCATCGTCGGTGTCACCGTCGTCGTCGTCGTCCGCCTCCTCGTCGATGTCGGCCGTCGTCGTGTGCCTGCGCGGGGCAAGGGGGGCGGGAGGCTGACCCCCCCCCCTGCGCGAGGTTTTTTTGTGCGAATGGTGGAGCAGGGAGGGGCTCTCGTTCGCCGGGCGCTTGGGATGTTGGTAGGTGGAGTCCCCTTGGTTTTCGAGGTGCCATGGAATGTTTCTCACCCGAGCGCCCGTGAGGTGCGTTGTCTTTCTCTTTTTTTTTGTTTCTCTCTCTCTCTTTCTCTCTCTCTTTCTCTCTCTCTCTCTCTGCCTTTTCATTTTTGTTGTTCTCTGTCTCTCTCTCTTTCTCTCTCTCTCTCTCTCTTTCTCTCTCTCTCTCTCGCTCTTTCTCTCTCTCTCTCTCTCTCTCGGACCACGATTGACCTGGCCCGGATCGGTGTAGATGGACAGTTGGCGCCCTCCCAGGAGAGAAGTACCAATGGGATGTAAACGTCGAGCCGCTCGAGCGCGACCTGGAGATGTGTGCCTGCTGTGGCTCGGAGATCGCGCAGCGATGCCGGGACTCCGAGACAAAGTCGACCGACCTGCAGTGGTGCGTGTCAAATCATTTTCAGGATATGAGTCTTCCTTCTTACGATATTGCCATCTACGCGCGTACTTGAATCATGTATATATATATACATATATATATTCAAACAACAAAAGATGCATTGGCGCTTTGCACCATGCACCTTGGTCCCTGAAGTGTTGCATGCAGGCGGGAAGACAGAAGGTAAAACATACCATTTGGCGATAATTCGTTGTTGCCTTCCCCAAAGGCGTCTTTACAATACTGTGATTCCCTACCTAGGCTCTGCCTAGAAGGGTTCTTACTCTCTAGCTTAAAGGGGCCGGGCAGTGGAAAGCGCCCCGGGCGGTTCCCCCAGTCCCCGCCCCGCGGTTCCCCCAGTCCCCTGGGAGCTTTAGCCTTAGCTTTAGCTTTAGCTTTAGTTTTAGCTTAGCTTTAGCTTAGCTTTAGCTTAGTGTTAGCTTAGCTTTAGCTTAGCTTTAGCTTAGCTTCAGCTTAGTGTTAGCTTAGCTTTAGCTTAGTGTTAGCTTAGCTTTGGCTTAGTTTTAGCTTAGCTTTAGCTTAGCTTTAGCTTAGCTGTAGCTTAGCTGTAGCTTAGATCTAGCTTAGTTTTAGCTTAGCTTTAGCTTAGCTTTAGCTTAGCTTCAGCTTAGCTTTAGCTTAGCTTTAGCTTAGCTTTAGCTTAGCTTCAGCTTAGCTTTAGCTTAGCTTCAGCTTAGCTTTAGCTTAGCCTTAGCTTAGCCTTAGCTTAGCTTTTTCTTAGCTTTAGCTTAGCTGTTGCTCAGCTTTAGCTTAGCTTTAGTTTAGCTTTAGCTTAGCTTTAGCTTAGCGTTAGCTTAGCTTTAGCTTAGCTTTAGTTTAGCTTCAGCTTAGCTTTAGCTTAGCTTTAGCTTAGCTTTAGCTTAGCTTTAGCTTAGCTTTAGCTTAGCTTCAGCTTAGCTTTATCTTAGCTTTAGCTTAGCTTTAGCTTAGCTTTAGCTTAGCTTCAGCTTAGCTTTAGTTTAGCTTCAGCTTAGTGTTAAATTAGCCTTATCTTAGCTTTAGCTTAGCTTTAGCTTAGCTTTAGCTTAGCTTTAGCTTAGCTTTAGCTTAGCTTCAGCTTAGTGTTAGCTTAGCTTCAGCTTAGCTTCAGCTTAGCTTTAGCTTAGCTTCAGCTTAGCTTTAGCTTAGCTTCAGCTTAGTGTTAGCTTAGCTTTAGCTTAGTGTTAGCTTAGTGTTAGCTAAGCTCCAGCTTAGCTTTAGCATAGCTTTAGCTTAGCTTCAACTTAGCTTTAGCTTAGCTTTAGCTTAGCTTTAGCTTAGCTTTAGCTTAGCTTTAGCGTAGCTTTAGCTTGGCTTTAGCTTAGCTTTAGCTTAGCTTTAGCTTAGCTTCAGCTTAGCTTCAGCTTAGCTTTAGCGTAGCCTTAGCTTAGCTTTAGCTGATCTTTCGCTTAGCTTCAGCTTAGCTTTAGCTTAGCTTTAGCTTAGCTGCAGCCTATCATTAGCTTATATTTAGCTTATATTTAGCTTTAGCTTTAGCTTAGCTTTAGCTTAGCTTTAGCTTAGCTTTAGCTTAGCTTGAGCTTAGCTTTCGCTTAGCTTTAGCTTAGCTTTGCTTAGCTTTAGCTTCAGCTTTAGCTTAGCGTTTCGCTTAGCTGTTCGCTTAGATTTAGCTTAGCTTTAGCTTAGCTTTAGCTTAGCTTTAGCTTAGCTTTAGCTTAGCGTTACTGTTACTATTAATGCTGCTGTCCTAGGGGTTCCAACTCCTAGGTAGGGTCGCACTGGGATAATTTGTTATATGTTCCGCATGCTTCCTCTTCCTCTCTGTGATTCCCTACCTAGGCTCTGCCTAGAAGGGTTCTTACTCTCTAGCTTAGAGGGGCTGGGCAGTGGAAAGCGCCCCGGGCGGTTCCCCCAGTCCCCTGGGAGCGGTTCCCCCCAGTCCCCTGGGAGCTTTAGCTTTAGCTTTAGCTTTAGCTTAGCTTTAGCTTAGCTTTAGCTTAGCTGTAGCTTAGCTTTAGCTTAGCGTTTCGCTTAGCTGTTCGCTTAGCGTTTAGCTTAGCTGTTGCTTAGATTTAGCTTAGCTTGAGCTTAGCTTTAGCTTAGCTTTAGCTTGGCTTTAGCTTAGCTTTAGCTTAGCTTTAGCTTAGCTTTAGCTTAGCTTTAGCTTAACTTTAGTTTAGCTTTAGCTTAGCTGTAGCTTAGCTGTAGCTTAGCTTTAGCTTAGCTGTTGCTCAGCTTTATCTTAGCTGTTGCTTAGCTTTAGCTTAGCTTTAGCTTAGCTTTAGCTTAGCTTTAGCTTAGCGTTGGCTTAGCTTTAGCTTAGATTTAGCTTAGCTTTAGCTTAGCTTTAGCTTAGCTTTAGCTTAGCTTTAGCTTAGCGTTACTGTTACTATTAATGCTGCTGTCCTAGGGGTTCCGACTCCTAGGTAGGGTCCAACTGGGATAATTTGTTATATGTTCCTCATGCTTCCTCTTCCTCTTCCTCATGTTCGCCCTACCCTGCGAATTATGTCCCATCCTCCTCAGCTATTGTTGCGGAGGCTCCTCCATGGAGAGCCTCTTGGGGGCCTCACGGAAGGTTTAAAGGGCTTCTTGAGGCTTTCTGGAGGCCGCCTCCTGTGTGCCTTCTGGGGGCCCCTGGGGGACCCGGCCACGATTTGGAATGCTTCGGGGGGCGTCTCGGGACCATTTTGGGCCGTCATCGGGCTCTCTTCGGGCAAGTTTGGGGCCTTGTTGGGTCGTCTTGTTGTTTTTTTTGGACTGCCTGGAAGCCCTTCCAGGTAGTTTGGGGACGATGTTCGGGCCTCCTGGGCGGTCTCGGACGCCTGGACGACCGAGGAACAGAGCAGTCCCAAAATCATTCAGGAAACAATTGGAAACCAATGTTTGCCTTGCATGTCCAAGGCCTCTTGGGAGTCTTCTTTGTGTCGTCTTCGGGCGTCTGGTGGGTGTCTGGAGTCTCTTGGGGCCCTCGGGGGGGCCCTTCGGCCGCCCTCCTGACCGATTTGGGCCCGTTGCCCAGGTCCAGCAGGGGCTTCCAGGAGCTCCAGGAAGCCTTCGGGATTTTCTGCAGGGGCGACCAGGGGGCCCCTGGGGCCAGGGATCCAGGGGGTCCCGCTTTGAGGGGGGAGGTCCCCCTTCACCCGGCTTGCAAATAGACACGAAGATGTATATTTGTAGACATATTACAATATATATATATATACAATCACACATATCTATACATACACACACAAAGGTTTGTGTATGCACGTGTGTATATATATATGTAAGTAGGTAGACACATATATATATATAGTTCTATATATTGTACTTCAGGAATCGAAGACGTCATGGCACTGCTACAAGTATTGTTTCAAGTGCTGGAAGGTGCGCAACGAGTGGACAAAACGTGTTGCTAATTATTTTGCTTGGGCAGTGGATGGTGGCTTGCTCGGGTCTAGGTTCCCAGTGCCAGAAGATAGAAGTGATTATTCAGAAGTGGAGAAGACTGAGCCTATTCGGTATGGCTCTCTGTTAGACGTTATGTTGGAAACAGATGTATGGAACCAAGTGGACAACCACAAGGATTTGCATGTTGCGCTGTATTTCATGCTGCACATGCGTCTGACAGACTCGACTCGTTCTTACGACAGCCAACTGCACGTCATCGAGCTTGGGGAACCCGATGAAGATTGCAACGGGTTGTATGCATTCTGCGGTCTCAGTAAAAAAGTATACGGTGCCCCCTGGTTCCAGAAGACGACAAAAAAAGATGCCATCATATATCCAAGTGCTTGCTGCAAGCCCCGCCACTGTGCCAGCGCTGCAGCGAGAAGGTGGTTGAGCTTAAGACCCGGTTCAGCTCATTGACCTGCCTGAACAGGTGCGGGCATCAAACACCCCCCCGTTGCCAGCATGTTGCTTGTCATCCTCCTCTTCCTCACTCTTGGAGTCCTCTTGGAGGCTTCACCTCCTGGGGGCCTCTTGGGTCCTTCTTGGTGACCTGTATGGGGCCTAGAGGGGCTGTCTTGTTCGCGAATGTTCTGTCGAGCCCTCCCGCTGGATTGAGACCATCTTGTGGGCGGCTGCGCGGATCTTGGGGCCGTCTTTGAGGCCTCTTGGGCCGTCTTGGGGCGTTCTCGTGTAGCGTCGTTGCGCGCCTTCATCTAGGGTGCCCTTGTGTCCTTGCCTCTGCGGCCCGTCCTCTGCCATTTTCGCTGGTCGCCCGCCGCCCAAAAGATCCCGACTTCGGCCTCCGAGTGCTTGCGTCCTTGCCACCCGTCCGTAATGCACGCTTTGACTGCATTGGGGCCCTCGAGGGGTCGTCGCGGGGGCTCGAGGGGCCTTCGAGGGGTCTTCGAGGGGGCAGTCTGCATTGGAGGTCCTCGAGGGGTCTCGAGGGGCCCTCGAGGGGTCTTCGAGGGGTCGGTCTGCATTGAGGGCCCGCGGGAAACTTTCTAGAGGCCTTCGAGAGGGCGGCTTGCGGCCGAAGAGCCTCGGACGCTGAAGCAGTGGTTCCCTGCGTGTTTGTTTCGCCCGTGTCTCCCCCAGGACTTGCTGGAGGCCTCTTTTCGGCGTATCTTGTGGTCTTCTCAGGGGTTCTCTCGGCGGCGAGCGAGGGGGGGGAAAGAGAAGGAGAAGGCCTTCTCGGAAGGCGGCGGGGCTTCTCAGAAGCCCTCCGGCCTTTGAGAAGTGTCCTGTGCCTTCGGGGGAGGCTCAGAAAATTGCAGAAGGCCGGGGGGCTTCCGAGCCTTCTGAGAAGGCCCGCCCCGTCTCACTTCCCCCCCAGGCTCGTCACTGAATGTGGGGGGTCCGTGGGCCACCTTCGGCTAGCCTTTTGAATCGATCTGGGGCTGTCTTGGAATCGCGTGCAGGCCAAAAAGGCGCTGGGTCTGGATGGTAAAGCTAGGAGGGGAGTTGTCCGACATGGTCACAGCGGAGGTCTCGATACCAAGGGAGGAGCCTCACCAGACAAATGGCAGCCCTCTGGCCTGACACGCCGCGCCGTGCAGGAACGGTGGCGGATCTGCACAGGGAAGCGGACGGAGGCCGGCGGGCCCCGTGGGAAGGCCAGCTGCAAGGCAAGGGGACCAGCGGCAGCAGGGCATGGTGGGTGCTTGTCAAGGGTCGCTTGGACAGCCCATGGGAGCCACACGAAGAGGAGGAGCTCGTGGCCTTCATCGACGCCGGGAAGCCGACGGGCGAGGGCAAGGAGCTTGCATGGCCGAGGCACGGGCGCGACGAGAAGTGGACCTGGAACAGGCTGCAGGTGACCGCGGTCCGCCATCCTCCCCCTCACCCCCATCTCATCGGGGTATACGCCCACACGATCGATAACTGCTGGCAGCACACCACGAGGCCTCGCAAGGGCAGTGCACCCCGCATCGCCCCAGGTACGCGCCGTGGGCATGACCAGGAGTGGACGCTTCTGGGCGGAGTGGAGGGAAAGGAGGGTCATCCCACCAAAGAGTTCGAAATCCACGTAGACTGCCAGCCCAGGAAGCCAGTTGTGTTCATGTACTCCGACGGCGAGATCACGCTGCTCTACCAGAAAGTCCAGTACATCATCATGACGAAGTGGGAGTTCAACGACCGCGTCATGATGATGTTGCTCAGCAAACGGTATTTCAACAAGGTGTACTTTCATCACTCTCACGGAGAGGGAGCCCTCCACGACAGAGATCATGCGCACAAGGTGCAGAAGGAAAAGGCTGATTTGGCTGACCGCGTAAGGTGCTGCCTCGTGGTGTTCTCTTCTTCCGTCCGTAGTCGTAGTCGTAGTCGTAGTCGTAGTCGTAGTCGTAGTAGTAGTAGTAGTAGTAGTAGTAGTAGTAGTAGTAGTAGTAGTAGTAGTAGTAGTAGTAGTAGTAGTAGTAGTAGTAGTAGTAGTAGTAGTAGTAGTAGTAGTAGTAGTAGTAGTAGTAGTAGTAGTAGTAGTAGTAGTAGTAGTAGTAGTAGTAGTAGTAGTAGTAGTAGTAGTAGTAGTAGTAGTAGTAGTAGTAGTAGTAGTAGTAGTAGTAGTAGTAGTAGTAGTAGTAGTAGTAGTAGTAGTAGTAGTAGTAGTAGTAGTAGTAGTAGTAGTAGTAGTAGTAGTAGTAGTAGTAGTAGTAGTAGTAGTAGTAGTAGTAGTAGTAGTAGTAGTAGTAGTAGTAGTAGTAGTAGTAGTAGTAGTAGTTAGTAGTAGTAGTAGTAGTAGTAGTAGTAGTAGTAGTAGTAGTAGTAGTAGTAGTAGTAGTAGTAGTAGTAGTAGTAGTAGTAGTAGTAGTAGTAGTAGTAGTAGTAGTAGTAGTAGTAGTAGTAGTAGCAGTAAGTAGTAGTAGTCGTAGTAGTAGTCGTAGTAGTAGTAGTAGTAGTAGTAGTAGTAGTAGTAGTAGTAGTAGTAGTAGTAGTAGTAGTTAGTAGTAGTCGTAGTAGTAACAGTAGTAGTAGTAGTCGTCGTCGTAATATTTAGTAGTAGAGTAGTAGTGTATGTATTAATTAGTAGTCGTATTAGTAAGTAGTATCGTAGTAGTAGTAGTAGTAGTAGTAGTTAGTAGTAGTCGTAGTCCTATGTCGTAGTTGTAGTAGTAGTATTAAGTATCGTAGTAGTAGTAGTACGTAAGTAGTATAGTCGTAGTCGTGTCGTAGTCCGTAGTTCGTAAGTCGTAAGTAGTAGTCGTAGTCGTAGTGTTAGTCGTAGTCGTAGTCGTAGTAGTAGTAGCAGTAGTAGTAGTTTAGTATTAATAGTAGTAGTAGTAGCAGTCTCGTATTAGTAGTAGCAAGTGTAGTAGTAAGTCGTCGTCGTCGTAGTAGTAGTTAGTAGTAGTAGTAGTAGTAAGCAGTCGTAGTAATAAAGCAGCAGAAGTAGAGTATATAGTAGGAGGAGGAGGAGTAGGAGGAGGAAGAGGAAGGAGACGTATGAAGAGGAGGAGTATGGAGAAGAGAAGTAGGCCGGAAAGGAGGATAGGATTGCAGAGAGAATTAGAGGCGGGGGGGAGGCGAAGGAGGAGGAACGGGGAGGAAAGGAAGGACACGTGAAAGGAACCAGGCAAGGGACGAGACGGGGGAAGGCGAGGCAAGTTAGCCGACGACGGATGATGAAAAGGAGGAGAAAGAGGAGGAGGAGGAGGAGTAGGAGGAGGCACGGCAGGCGAAGGAGGAAGATGCAATTCAGGAAGTGGATTGGGAAGTCGGCAAGGGAAGAGGTGGATGATGAAGAGGCCAGGCAGGAGGAAGAGGAGGAGGAGGAGGGGAGGGAAGGGAGGAAACATAGGAAGAGCAGGTTCGCATGGAGGGGGGGAGGAAGAATAAGAATAATAATAAGAAGCAGAAGAAGAAGAGAGCATGAGGACGAGGCGAAGAAGGAGGAGATGTTGTTCGTTTCGGTCGCAACGCCTTCTTCCAGACTGTGTCTGGTCAGCGGGATCGCCTATCACTGCGCTGCGAAATGTACGCCCTGCATTCATCTTGCTCTCCCGCATTACCATGTTCTCTCGTCCCTCCTTTCCATCGTCCTCCCCACACCATCCTCATATTCCTCCTCCTCCTCCTCCTCCCCATCACCATCATCAGCATCACCAGCATCATCATCATCATCATCATCATCATCATCATCATCATCATCATCATCATCATCATCATCGTGCCCCTAGTTGCTCGCTCGGTCCTCCTCATCATCCGCATCTTCATTCTACTCGCTCGCTCCTCCTTCCTTCCTCCGCCTCCTCACCTCCTTCTCTGTTACAATCCCTGTCACGTCATTCGTTGCTTCCCCCGATGGCACTGTGGCGCCAAGGTGCTTGGGGAAGCTTCTTGACAGCAACGCTTCTCTCGACCTCCAGGCGTTCGTGTGCAAGACTGTGATGGGCACTCACGGGGCGCAATCGTCGTCCGCACATTCTTTCCCGATGTCCCGATCGTTCCGCCTGTTTCCACGCCCATTCCCCCCTGCCCTTCCTCCTTGTCTCACCGAGCTCGTTCCACTCCTCGCAAAATGCCAACGCGCAAAGGTTGGAAAAGTAAGTGTCTGCCCCGATGTAGTGGATCGTAAGTCCCCCGCGGCGGATCCAGGCCATTTGCGAGTAATTACTTTGCGAGTAGTGGAACGCGCCTGTCGATTGCCAGCATCATACCATATATCTCCCATTCCCCGCATACCCCCATCTCCCTCCAGTTTTGTCGGCAGCCCTGGAAGGTGTGCCCATGCGCTGTTGTTGTTTGAGGCATGAGAAGCGAGAAGGGGAGGGGGGATGGGAGCAGAATTCCAGAAAACCATCGAAAGCCGCCCTCTCCCTCTACAGCCGGCCCTGATTAGTTGGTCGACCATTCCAAATCGAGAGTACCATTGTGTCCTGTGTTTCGCGACGCATGCCTCCTACATGCCTATGAGAATGTGACCCTCGAAAGGGTCGTATGGCCTCTCGCGTGTCCTGTCCAAGCAATTCCGACTGTACCTCTCCCTGGCATCCTCATCATACTCCTCCGTCATGGAAGACATTGTGGAGGAGGGGGGGGGGGAGGAGTGCTCCTGTCAACTCACGTATGTTTTCTAGTGGCCAGCTGGAGTTCCCAGGGGGGTCGAAGGAGACCTGAGACTCCTCCTGCTCCTGCTCCTCCTCCTCCTTCTCCTCCTCCTCCTCCCCCTCCTCCTCCTCCTCCTCCTCCTCCTCCTCCTCCTCCTCCTCCTCCTCCTCTACGCAGGAATGATGAGCGGCGAGGTGGACGAGGACGGGGCCGCAGCCAAGGGACCGTTCCTGTCCTCCGGGAGGAGGAGGTCGGAGGAGGAGGAGCAGCAGGAGGGGGAGAGTTCAGAGCCCCGAATCATCAGGGGTAACTCGGGTCAGGGCTAACTCGGGTTCCTTTTTCGGGAATCCAAACCCGAGTTACCCCGGACCCGAGTTACCCCGGATAACTCGGGCGTCCAGAGCCCCGAATCATCAGGGGTAACTCGGGTCAGGGCTAACTCGGGTTCCTTTTTCGGGAATCCAAACCCGAGTTACCCCGGACCCGAGTTACCCCGGATAACTCGGGCGTCCAGAGCCCCGAATCATCAGGGGTAACTCGGGTCAGGGCTAACTCGGGTTCCTTTTTCGGGATCCGAGTTACCCCGGGATAACTCGGGCGTCCAGAGCCCCGAATCATCAGGGTAACTCGGTCAGGGCTAACTCGGGTTCCTTTTTCGGGAATCCAAACCCGAGTTACCCCGGACCCGAGTTACCCCGGATAACTCGGGCGTCCAGAGCCCCAAAATCATCAGGGGTAACTCGGGTCAGGGATAACCCGGGTTCCTTTTTCGGGAATCCAAACCCGAGTTACCCCGGACCCGAGTTACCCCGGATAACTCGGGCGCCCAAAGAGTGGGAGATGGTGAGCAATGGGGCTGACTGTCCATGCCATTGTAGCGCGCAGGGTAGGGCTGACCACTGTGGTCGCGCGGCCCACAACACATGTCATGGAGAAGTGGGGCACGGCGTCCCTGTCAGGCTCGCCCAACCTTACGATAAGCCCACTTCGCAGGGGAGAAGCTCGCGCTGCTGACAAATGATGGGCGCACCCGCAGTGCTTGCGAGCTCACGGGCCGCTGACTGCCCAGACCCCTGGTGGGGACGCCAAGGATGCCATTATGAGTGGCAAGCCTGGGGTTACGTTCCCTCGAGGCCCCCGGTTGAGAAGACGGGCCAGGGACGACAACGTTGACGTCCAATCCGTGATCCCATCTTGTGCTGCAAATGAATTCGGCAAGACGGGTGAAACAGGAGCACCAACGGGGCGATAGCCCGCGCGGGGCTGCGCCCGCGTCGACTGCGCCACCGCTGGCGCAGCCGCTGGCGCAGCCGCAGCAGAGGACGATGGACCCAGAACACGTCGGCTCCTCCTCCTCCTCCTCCTCCTCCTCCGCCTCCTCCTCTTCCTCCTCCTCCTCCTCCTCCTCCTCCTCCTCCTCCTCCTCCTCCTCCTCCCCCTCCTCCTCCCCCTCCTCCTCCTCCTCCTAACTTTGACCCGAGCACGTCTGCTTCGAAGTCGGGTTCTTGAAGGTCCGGGCGGGGCCGCAGGCGCAGACCGGGCCCGAGCTGGATCCTCGGCCACGCCCGCCTCGGCCGTAGCCGCCTCGAGGCGCGCAAGCCCCGCTCAGCAGCTTAGTTGACCGAGGCGCCAACCGCAGGAGAGACATCGACCCAGGGCGCGGCCCCATGGCTTCGCCACCCAGCGGTGCGCCAGATGGCGAAGGCGGCGCCGCAGGTCGCAAGTGGTGATTGGTGTCCTGCGGATTGGTGGCCGGCACGGCCCCGTGGCTTTGCCACCCAGCGGAGCCCCACTGCATGGGAGGCCGAGGAGGAACAGGATGAGGAGGAGGGGGAGGAAGAAAAGGAGGAGGAGGAAGACGAGGAGGATGAGGAAGAAGACGAGGAGGAGGAGGAGGATCAGGAGGAGGAGGAGGAGGAGACAGGACAGAGGCAAAGAGGAGCGTATGAAGGTTGAGGCGTGCGGGAGGGGTAGGCGGAGGTGGAGAGAAAGGGGGGGGGGGGGGGGGGGGGGGGCAAAGGCGGAGGAGGAGGAGGAGGAGGAGGAGGAGCAGCAGCAGCAACAGCAGGAGCAGCAGGGGCGCTGGAGGAGTGGAGGAGTGGAGGGGAACGATGGGGGAGGAGGAACGAGACTCGCGATTTGATCTTCCTCATTCCCTCAGGTACTGCGTGGCGAGCGTATGTATACTCCGAGCCACTGATCTTACTTCTTTGCACGTGTCCCTCACGGTCGGCCTTACAATTCCCATTTTTTTCTCACGTTCACGTTTCAGCTTCGTTGCGCAAGTCCGCCCAACGCAAAAAAGGAGAAACAAGGGGGAACGAAGGTGAAGGGAGGAGGACCATTTGCGAGGAGGGAGGACAGAGGAGGCAGGTCGGAGGGCGCGGGAGGGAGGACGGAAGACGGAGGGTGCAGGGGCTCCCCGAGTAGTCATGTAATCCCGCATCCCGCCATGAGCGAAGTGCTCTGCCCGCCTTCGAAGCTCCTCTTCCTCCGGCAGCCTCGCCGCGCGGTCGCCCGCGAGGATCTCTGCACGCTGGCCCTCGATTCCCTCGTGAAGCTGCTCAAGAAGAACAACCTGTTCATTGCCACCTACGCCACCGCGGCGTTGGTGAACCTCAGCAAGGCGACGCGGGGGGCTCTGCCTCGGCTCGTCCTCGCCGCGGGCGCGCCTCCTCAACCTCCTCTTTTTGCTCTTCCTCCTCCAGTTCGTCCCACTCCTCCCCCCACACCACCTCTTCGCAGCCCTCTTGCTGCTGTCGAGAATGAGTCGCAAGGGGTTAGGGTTCCGATCTGGGTCTGGATCCGGGCTCGGGCTCGTGACGCGATAGAAATAAGCTTGTTTACATGATCAGGGATGCGATCCGGATATAAGACGGATGCTCTAGGAGTTTTGATGCCGTTCGGAGGTTTGGTGTGGGACATTCGTGTCTCAGCACTGCAAGAGTGTAATACATGCGCGCCGCACCACGGTGAGGTTCGCACCACGCTGGACAAGTTGAATTGTAGTTCGGACCGGCGCAATTCTTGAAGAATGTCCAACCAAACGACAACAGGCCAAATTCTGCGAGAGCCAGGGACGAAGCCAGGGACGGAAGCAATTACGAACGAGTTATTACGTGCGGAAAAAAACCTTAACCAGCGTAGACCCCGAACAGAACATGTGCATCCCGGTTGCGCAATCTACGTAGTGAAATTCACCAATGCCCGCAGTGCGTTGTCAACTCCAGTGCTCGCGCAATCATCCCACACACCCGCCCGCAACCTGGTTTGTAAATCCCATGCGGTGGCGATTGCGATGAGTGCTTGGCGTTGGCGGGTGCATCTCTGCGGCCGAGCTAGCCCGCGCATGCTCGACGCGCGCAGCGGCCAGCAAGTGCGGCGCGACCGACGCGGCCGCGGTGGCGATGACCGCTGTGCATTTCCCAACGGGCACTCCAGTGCGAGTCGGTGACTTGGGCGGGCGCGGTATCATGGCGACGCCGACAACGGTAGGCACGATGATGGGCGTAGCGCGGATGGTGGCGATGGTGGCGATGACGACAGCAAGACCAATGACGGCGCCGATGCTGATCACGGCCGCTGGTAACGATGACGATGTCCTCGCGTCGGTGATGAAGGTTGTGGAAGGAGTTCGACATGCGCGCGCGGCCGACGCGCGCGAGTGGCCCGCGTGGTGTTATTAGACGCTGGTCGTGCCCCCCCCAACCACCCCAACCCCACCCCCCAGCACGCGCGCAAGGGCGTTCGGGTGAAATCGGCATGCGGCGCGAGAGGCCCGGTTGGCAGAATACGATAACAACGTTGAAACCATTGTTGTTGTTCTTGGAACTCGCAGTGGCGCGCAGGTTTCTTTTGAAAAGCTGCTGTTGCAAAGCCATGCATGTTATTGGTGTCCGGGACAGTCGCGTTTGAAACCTTGTACGACATTGAAGGTGTTTGAAAGTTTGCGGCTTGCGCGCGCGACGCCGCGCGCGTGCGCACGTCGTCCCATTTGTTGCGAATGATTCTTGCGACATCACGCGCGCAAGCGGCGTTCGAACGATTTCGACATTGGCCCACTTGGGACCAGCTTGATCTCCTGTTGGGGCCCTCAGCTTGGAGGCCCTCTTGGGCAATCTTGGGCCGTCTTGGACGCTCGAACCCCTCGCGCCCCCCCCCGTCCAGTCCCACCAGCTGGTTTGGCGTAGGTGGTCTATCGCGTGTCCTTTTACATGTCTTCCATTCCCGTACTCGGGGAGGTCTATCTCCCCCCCTGGCTCTGGACGGAAGGGGCCGCGAGGAGTTGGAACGCCCGAAACGGCCCAAGATGGCCCCACGAGGGCCCAAGATAGCCCAACATGGCCTCCATGATGGCGCAAGGTAGCCGAGCATGATTACCATGGTTCAAGGTGGCCTCCGACATACCACCAAGAGGCTGCAAGAAGCCCACAAGGCGGTTAGAGGTGCTGTCGGAACCCTCCGAGGACCCTCCCAAGAGGCCAAACATCCGTCCAAAACCTGCGGGACACGAATGTGTTGTACCTCCTCGCCTGTTCGCATCCGATGGGCCTTTGGGGCCTCAAGATGACCCCCCGATGGCCCACGAGAGCTTTCATATGGCCCCAAGAAGGCCCCAGGAGCGCCCAGGAGGCGCCAAAGCGGGCCCCAAGAGGGACCCAAGAGGCGATGCGTCAGCCTTCCAGGGGAGGGGGGGGGCGCCGAAAACAGTCGTCGCCCTTTTTGAACCATGGCCTCCATAATCGCCACAAGAGGGCCTCAAGAACCCACCAAGGAGTCACAAGAGGCCCCCCAAACTGCCCCAAACGTGTTAAACACGTCACCAATACGGTTCCAAGATGGCTCCAAGAGGCATCCAATAGGCTCGCGGAGCGTAAGCTCCGCGAAGGCTTGACGGGCCTGTTCAGGCTGACCCAAGGCTTCGGTTTGACGGCTTCCCCAGTTATGAATTCCACTGCATGCTGCCCCATTCCCTGCTCAAGGAGAGTCGCCGAGAAGCGCTGCTGGATGGGCTGGTGGGGATACTTTTGGTTAGCGGGCTCGCGAAACGGGTCGAACGCCGAGCGGGCTATGGCGGGCCGCGCTGGTAGCGAAGTGAACAGCAGCGCGGGCGACGGCACGCGAGAAGCCGCGGCACCGACCAGGCGGGCAGCGGCAGAGGAGTGTGGCGAAGACGAAGACCACGTGAGCGCGGCAAGCTTGGCGAACAGGAAGTACAGGAAGCGCCCCGAGAGCACGAGGAGGACGCCGAAGAAGACGGAGACGGAAGGTGGTGGCGTACAGGACGATCACCGCCGTGCCAACGCAGAAGATGCAGCCAAAATGGCGCGAGGAAGGCGAACAGGTAGCCGAAGAGGGTAGAAGTGACGCGCAGGTGGACCCCGTGAAGTAGTACAGACGGCACTCGGGTAGGCGGAACAAGCAGGATCAGGCGACCGCGCCAGGCGGCAATACCACCCAGTATCAGTGACCGAGCATCCCAAGGGCCAGCCTTGCCGTACAGGTAGAACTTTAGATGGCCGTCAACCGACACCGAGAGCCCCGCGAGCCCGAATCAGAAGACAAAGCTGGTCGGCACGAACTGACCGTGAAAGTGAAGACGCTCACAGGTGAAAGCCCAGCGCGCACCCGAAGCCAAGGAGAAACCTTGTCGCACAGGTAGGGCTTCAAAAGGCCGTAGGTTGACAACTTGCGATTGACGTGCGTGGGCCCGAAGGCAAAAAGGCGGGGGCTGCACGAAGGAACCGTGCAAGTGAGCGCCGCCCATTGGGTGGCCCGAGGGTGCAGCGGCGGGGGCCAGTGGGGATTTTTTTCCGTCGCAGCCACAGGCGAAGGCGCCCGCAGCGGGTCGAGTCGGCTCAGGCTACGAGCGAACCTAATTGCCAGCGCGCGCGCGCGCAGAGGAAAGCAGGACCTACCGCCGGGGGAAGCAGCTGCGCCGGGGCCGTGCTGCAAACGCCGAGGCTGGGAACCAGCGCCTGCAAGCTGCTGGGGCTGCCAGGAAGCTGCAAACGTGTGGGTACCATGGGAGCTGAATCGCCAGGTACGTGAATTGGACCTTGTCTCCACGGGCGCCACAGGTCAGTGCGCCACAAACGTGGCGAAGCGCGGGACGACTGCAAGTTGCTGGGGCTGCCAGGAAGCTGCAAACGCGCGGGTACCATGGGAGCTGAATCGCCAGGTACGTGAATTGGACCTGCCTGTGGGGATACGCGAAGCGTCACGAATAAAGAAAGGGAGGGCCTGGAACAGGAAACGCGCTAGACCACATGCGTCCAGAGGGCTGGTGGGATTACTCCTGGTCACGCCGGATTTCCCCGGAGTCCAACATGATCACACGGAGCTTCGGACACCGGCCCGTAAGTATACAAGGTGTCCGGGGGAACTTGGTAAATTTGTTGCTGGGGGCCCGCAGGATTTCCCCAGGATTCGTTTCGGAATCCTGAGGTTCACTACTGGGTTCCTGAAGAAAACTGACAAAGCCAACGGCATCCAAAGGAATTCCCTAGGATACCGCAGGATTCCGAAGCATTCCAGGTGAGTTACACAGGAGGCATACAGAATCTGGAGGAATCTTGAGAAGGCTTTCAGGAACCCGAGAGCAGATCGGAAGGAATCCTGCGGGTTTCTTCGGCGGGCCATACGGTGTCCGAAGGAGTTTTATGTGAGCACCGCGGCCAACTTAGCATTTTGGAAGGTGCTGGAACACTGGGTTGGGGATCCAAAGGAAATTCGCCGCAGGAGTCCGCAGGATTCCTGGGGAATCCTTTTGGAACCACAATTAGAATTATGAAGAATCCAGCGGGATCCTGCGAATGGTCTCGGGACCCCGAGAGGACGTCCGAGGGAAGCTTCCTGATTTCACTGGGGGCCGCAGAATGTCTTGAGGATTTCCCATGGAATCTCTGAGGCTCCAGAAGGCTCGCCGTGATGGGATCTCCAAGAATGTTGACGCATTAATGAAGAAGCGTGAGGAGCCTTGAGGAATCCCACGGGACCGTCATTCATATCCACAGGGCTCCTCAGGACCCCTCGAGGTTCTGTTTCGCACAGGAACCTCAAGCATCCGGGGCCCCGGATGCTTGAGGCTTTTGCGCGACCAGTAACCGCTACTGGTAGCTGCCGGCCGCGACCGGTAGCGGCCGGTAACGAATACCGATCTTGGTGGCGCAAACCGGAACAACCAGTATCGCGTTTGCAAACGAAACGACGGGTATCGCGTTTCGCTACCCAAATTTGGGCAACGCATGATTTTTAAGGGGGGAAAGCCTGGCCAAGTCATCAGGCAGTCGAACGACGTCGTGGTGACTTCGCAGGTACCCTCTTGCCACAGCGGCACCTCGTGTCCCCCGGCCGTTCTCGCGAGGACCGGCCCGTCGTGAAGGGGATCCTGCTCGGGATGCACATCGCGGACCTGTGCATGAAGAATTTGGACACCAGGGACGAGGACCCGGGGCAGTCCAGACCACAGCCACAATGGGATTCGCACGCGCGCCCTCCCCCACCCTCTGGAGAAAGGAAAGACGAGGACGAGGACGAGGAGGAGGAGGAGGAGGAGGAGGTCGAAGAGGAGGAGGAGGAGGAGGAGGAGGAGGAGGAGGAGGAGGAGGAGGAGGAGGAGGAGGAGGAGGGAGGAGGGACGATAGGGACGAGGGGGGAGGAAGGCGAAGACGGGGAGCGGCAGGAGGAGGGGAGAGAAGCGGAGTATGATTGGTGAAGGGAGTGAGGAGGAAGGGGGACCAGTGTTCAGATTGATGGATGGTGATCTTTGGAGCATGCATCATTATGCTTGCAGGCTCGACCCCTCCACTCCTGTACAAGTCGGGCACACGGAATGGGGGAGTTCCAAATTATCCGCAGGTCGGACTTTCCTGTGGAGTGCCTTCCCTCGATGGCTCACTGGCGTTGCAGGGCACGACCGTGATTACAGCTTTCATTGGGCCACTTCTTTTTCAAACGTCTGAACCCCGACTAGTTGCAAGGGCCACACGTCCAACGCAAAACGCTGCTTGACGGGACCTCATCGTGCCGCAACCATGGGTCGTGCCCATGGGGATTGCCCAATCAAGTCTGAGCCGTGCGCGAAGAGGAAGGGGGAGGGTGGAAGGGGAGGGATATGCGGGGGAGGCAGGGGAGAAGCAGGGAGGAGGAGGGAGAGAAACGGGGGGAAGAGGAGGCCGAAGCCCAGAGCCCCTGTGGATCTGCGCAGCTGCCCTGAGAGGACCTGATGGTCTACACCCTGATGCTGGTGGCCCACCTCACGAAGGCCGGCCTCGGAAACGGGGCCCTCCTCGGCTTGCGTCGACTAGACGCAAGAGTGACCTTTCGCCGGAGTGACCTTTGGGTGCGGGCACAGATGGGCCCTCAGACGGCTGAAAACGAAGCGGCAGCAGCGGCTTGCGCGCCCAGGTTTTCGTCCCCCTGCGGCCCCCAAAGAGCCGCGCACCAAAGGTCACCCTTGCCCAGGGGTCACTCTTGCGTGTAGCCGATTGAGCCCCCCACCCCGCCTCTGAGTGGCATTCCTCCGCTTCCTCCGTCCTCCTCTCCCTCTCCTCTCCTTTCCCGCGCGGGAGCAGGCAGGAGGAGCCGCGGCGGGGGAGAGGCTGCAACGGGGCCCCGTGCGGCTCCGGCCCGAGGGCCGCGAGGCGTGCAGGGCCCCCTTCGCCGGTCCGCCCCCTCCGCCTGGCCGTCCTCCCTCGCCCCCCCTCCTCTCGCCTCCCTCCGCCTCGCCCTCCTGCCCCACCCTCTGCCTCGCCCTCCCTCCTCTCGCCTCCCTCTGCCTCGCCCCCCCTCCTCCTCCTCCTCCTCCTCCTCCTCCTCCTCCTCCTCCTCCTCCTCCTCCTCCTCCTCCTCCTCCTCCTCTCCTCCCTCCTCCTCCTTCCTCCTCCTCCTCTCTCCTCCTCTTCCTCCTCCTCCTCCTCCTCCTCCTCCGGCCTCCCCCTCTCCTCGCCCCCCCCTCCTCTCGCCTCCCTCTGCCTCGCCCTCCCTCCTCTCGCCTCTCTCTGCCTCGCCCCCCCTCCTCTCGCCTCCCTCTGCCTCGCCCTCCTCCCCGGCGGCACGCTGAGCTGGAAGCCCGCTGGCGCCGCGGCCGATGCCCGCCTTTTGCACGTCGAGTCGGCACGAGGTTCCGAGGGCCGAGTCGGCGTTGGGCATAATCAGCCGTGCGCTCCTCGCGGCGCACGCCGCCTTCTCGTGACGGTCTTGGGGTGGCCACTGGAATGGCAGCAGCTTGGCCCGCCCCTCGGCGCTTGTCTTGTCTTATCCTCACCCTCCTCCCTGGATTCGGCGTCACCCCATCATGCTGCTATAGCTGTGTGCGCGTCGCCCCCCCAACAAGGCGCGACGCGCGCAGCGAGACATCTTACAGTCTGTGCGTCGTGGCGGGCGCTGCCTGCCCGCACCGCAAGATGGTTGCACCATACCATCGGATCGGATGCGCCCCGCCGAGGGGGAGAAGTAGTGCTCGTATGCCCCTGTGCGTCCAGGGACCCCTCCTCGTCCTCCCTCCTCCCTCCCCGCCCCTCCTCGCCCCTCGCGACGCACGCCGCCTCCGCCGCCGTGCCGGCGGGCCGCTCGGCTCCCTCGAGCAGCTCGGCGGTGCTTCCGCTCGACGCTCGGCCAGGTCGGCGCAGCTCGCCTGCGCCTCCGCGCCGCCGCCGGCGTGTTGGCTCAGTCCTCCTCCTCCTCCTCCTCCTCCTCCTCCTCCTCCTCCTCCTTCTCCTCCTCCTCCTCCTCCTCCCCATCCCCATCCCCTTCGAGACCCCCCCCCCCAAGCTGCCACCCCAGCTGGGGGATGCACCCCTTTGAAGCCCGGAGGGAACGGCCCCCGTCCCCATTTATAGGGGGGCACATCGGCCAGCGGGGCCCAGGCCACGCCGCTGGGGGGGGGGGGGAGGCTCGGTGCAACGAGACTCGCTTCATGGGCCTGTTTTCCACCACCACCACCACCATAAGTTGGAGGGGGGAAGGAGGTAGAGGATGAGGAGGAGGACGAGGAGGAGGAGGAGGAGGACCCCCTCCCCCTCCCACTTATGGTAGTGGTGGTGGAAAACACGCCCACCATCGCTGGCTACGCTCGCCCACCCGCCCGCGCATCCTCCTCCGACTGGTCGGAGCCCCTCGCGCATAAAGCGCGTCGCGGTCGGGAGCTCTGGCTCGGCACATCGTGCTGCCGGCTCTGGCCCGCCGCGCTGCGGAGCGGCACGCGAAGGAGCCGCGCCCATGAGGCCCCCCAGGAGGAGGAGGAGGAGGAGGAGGAGGAGGAGGAGGAGGAGGAGGAGGAAGAGGGAGGAGGAAGGGATGGAGGAGGAGGAAGGGAGGAGGAGGAGGAGGAGGAGGAGGAGGAGCCCCCCGCCCCGCGGAGCGGAGCGGCACGCTGCCCGCCTGCAGGGCGCAGCGCGTCGCCGGGACCGCCGCGGCGGCACGCTGAGGAAAAGTTCCCGACCGTGCGCGCTCGGGTTGGGAGGCCAGACAGGAGGAGGAGGAGGAGGAGGAGGAGGAGGAGGAGGAGGAGGAGGAGGAGGAGGAGGAGGGGGCCAGGCGGAGGAGAGAGGAGAGAGGAGTAGGGAGGGGGAGGGGGATGGAGGGGAGGAGGAGGATGTTTCGGCGGGCTGTCCCGGGCCCAGGGGGGAGGAAGGATGCTGGAGGGGCCTGGGGAGGGAGGGAGGGAGAAAGGACACGAGGGATCGTTTCGTGGCATCCGATCCCGAGCCAGACCTCTGGGCCGCGCGGCGATCACGGCGGCCACACATCGGGGCAAGATTTTTGCCAAAGAGTGGCATGCACCTTCACTGCTCCCCTATCCGCTCTGCGATGCAGACGCGGCTCGTACTTAACAGTACCAACATTTAGTTCTCTATCGACGCCCAGCATAGGGCAGGCATGTTTTTGAGTTCGGGGTCGCTTATCACGAAACCAAGGGAGGGCCCCAACAGGGAACCCAATAGGGAACCTCATGCCCGTCGTGCTCACCCTTGTCGCCCCGCTTCGAGCCCAGCTGTCCACGCCCCACCTCCCCCCCACACACACACACACACACACACACACACACAC